CCGCCGCACCGGCGGCGACACCGGCGGCGAGGACGGCGACGCCCCCCGGCACAACTCCGCCATCCACATCCGCCTCTGCCGGGAGGCGCCCTGCGCCTGACGGGGCTCCCGGGGGCGCTCCGGGGGTGCCCCGGGGGTGGTCGCGGTCACCGGAGGTGCCGGGGACGCGCCGGGGCCGCCGAACGCCCCCCGAGGCCAGCAGGAGCCGGCGAGGACCGGGATGGCGCCGTGAAGGGGTTTGAGGCCACCGATGGCACGGACGGGGACACCGGGAGCCGGGGACGGAACGTGCGGGGACACCGCGGCACGAGGCCACCGAGCCACCACCGACGGGGACACCGATGTCACCCCGGGGCGCTCGGTGTCACCGTGAGCCCGTCGATGCCACCCCCAGCCCCTCGGTGTCACCCCCAGCCCCTCGGTGTCACCCCGAGCCCCTCGGTGTCACCCCCAGCCCCTCGGTGTCACCCTCAGCCCCTCGGTGTCACTTGGAGCCCATGGATGTCTCCATGAGCCCCTTGGTGTCACCCCCAAGCCATCAATGTCACCCTCAGCCCCTCAATGCCACCCCCAGCCCCTCAATGCCACCCCCAGCCCCTCAGTGTCACCCTGAGCCCCTCAATGCCACCCCCGGCCCCTCGATGTCACCCCCAGCCCCTCAGTGTCACCCCCAGCCCCTCAGTGTCACCCCCAGCCCCTCAATCCCACCCCCAGCTCCTCAATCCCACCCCCGGCCCCTCGATGCCACCCCAGCCCCCCGCCCCAGCAGCCTCGGGGACTCCGGGGGCCACACGGGGACTTTGGGTCGTGACACCCCAATAAATTCGGCGGCGGCGGCAGCGAGGCCTTGGGGGCTTTTTGGGGGGATTTGGGGGAGGTGGGGGGGCGGGGCTGGGGCTTCCTCTGCGTCACCGGTGACATTTGGGGCAGGAAACCCCCCAGGTGACAGTGGGGGACCCAGGGGACGGCGGGGGGAGCGCTGGGAGAGGGTCCGGGGGGTCCCCAGGGGGAATGTGGGGAGCTGGGGGGCTCCAGGTGACACTGAATGACATTGGGGACATCAAACGTCCACGCGGGTGGGGGGAGAGGGTGGGAAATGAGGGGGACCCTGGGGACAAAGGGACACCCGGGTGGCCACAGGGACCCTGGGGACAAAGGGACACCCGGGTGGCCACAGGGACACCCCGGTGACAAAGGGACACTCAGGTGGCCACAGGGACCCTGGGGACAAAGGGACACCCCGGTGGCCACAGGGACCCTGGGGACAAAGGGACCCTGGGGACAAAGGGACATCCGGGTGGCCACAGGGACCCTGGGGACAAAGGGACACCCCGGGTGGCCACAGGGACACCCCTGTTTCAAAGGGACACCACGGGTGGCCACAGGGACACCCTGGGGACAAAGGGACACCCCGGTGGCCACAGGGACCCTGGGGACAAAGGGACCCTGGGGACAAAGGGACACCCCAGTGGCCACAGGGACCCTGGTGACAAAGGGACACCTGGGTGGCCACAGGGACACCCCGGTGACAAAGGGACACCCAGGTGGCCACAGGGACGCCCCAGTGGCCACAGGGACACCCCGGTGGCCACAGGGACCCCGGGGACAAAGGGACACTCAGGTGGCCACAGGGATAGTGGCCACAGGGACACCCCGGGTGGCCACAGGGACCCTGGGGACAAAGGGACACCCCGGTGGCCACAGGGACACCCCAGTGCCCACAGGGACACCCCAGTGGCCAAAGGGACCCTGGTGACAAAGGGACCCTGGGGACAAAGGGACACCCCGGGTGGCCACAGGGACCCCAGTGACAAAGGGACACTCAGGTGGCCACAGGGACACCCCAGTGGCCACAGGGACACCCAGGTGGCCACAGGGACACTCGGGTGGCCAAAGGGACACCCGGGTGGCCACAGGGACATCCCGGGTGGCCACAGGGACCCAGGTGACAAAGGGACACCCCAGTGCCCACAGGGACACCCCGGTGACAAAGGGACACCCAGGTGGCCACAGGGACCCTGGTGACAAAGGGACCCTGGTGACAAAGGGACACTCAGGTGGCCACAGGGACACCCCAGTGGCCACAGGGACCCTGGTGACAAAGGGACCCCGGTGACAAAGGGACACCCTGGTGGCCACAGGGACACCCCAGTGGCCACAGGGACCCTGGGGACAAAGGGACCCTGGTGACAAAGGGACACTCAGGTGGCCACAGGGACCCTGGTGACAAAGGGACCCTGGTGACAAAGGGACACTCAGGTGCCCACAGGGACCCTGGTGACCGGGGGGGGGGGGGGCGCGCAGCCCCCGTTCCCGGGCAGTCCCGGCCGTCCGGGGGTGTCCCTGCGGGGGGGACATCCG